AGAGAGAGAAAATGAGGAAGATAAAAAACAAGAAAAGGAAAGAAATTATTACTGATTCAATTGAATTTTTAACCTATTTTTATATACAAATCAAACAAACACATCATTTTTTTCAACGCAATTACGCGGATAAAAATAGAAACGGAATCGAAATAAATAATCAATAAGTAACGTCAGTGCGAAAATCACTTTTAAATTACAATCACAAGAAAATAAATGAATAAATAAATAAATATGTTAATAATCACGAAAAAAACAAAAAAGAAAAAAAAAATGGAAGAAGCAATCAAAATACATAGAAAGAGAGAGAGAGAGAGAAAAAGAAAAAAAAAGGAAAAAAGAAAAAGTCGCAATTGAAATTCAAAAGGAAGCCGGAAGGAAAGTAAATCGATAATGATATCTTGTTTTTTTTTTAAAAACAATCAAAAAATATAAGAAGAGACATAAAAAATAAAAGTCTCGGTCTAACCAATCGAGACGACAATTGTTGACAGTAAATAAGAGAAAGGAAATAATCAAACGGAAAAGGAAAGAGAGGGAGAGAGAGAGAGAGAGAAAAAAATAGGAAAAGGAACAAACAACGATGTGAATGATCGGAAATAAAATTTAATACAGACAAACGAGGAAAAAAAAAAAAAAAAAGGAATGAGAATGCGAATTACTAATGGTAAAAAATAAATCAATATTTGTTTATATGCGTTGAAAATGTGTGAGGGAAAACAAACAAAAATTTTAAAAATTCAAATGACTTTCATCGGGGGGGTTTTTTCCATTTCATTTTTCGAAAGGTGAAAATTTATTTGTAGAAAATTTAAGGTCATTGAACAATCGAGTGGACGAAGAAAAGTTTGTTTTTTACAAGACGGACGAACGGACGGAACAACGGTATCGTTAAGGGAAAAAAGAAAATTAAAAAAAGAAAAAGAAAATTGAAAAAAGAAAAATTATTTTGGCAACAATTTTGACAAGGAAAAGTGCGAACGCGTAACAAACAGAACACCGGTAAAAAAAAAAAAAAGAAAAAAAAATCGAAAACCTGAAAATAAAATTAAATAAAAATAAAAAAAAAAAATTTTTTTTTTTTTAACGAAACGGTAAAGTTTGTATTAAAAAAAAAAAAACTGTTGGCAGCCCTGAAGGTAATTAAACGTCTGCAAATTAATATAAAACCATTTAATTAAGAATTTCGTTTTTTTTTTTTCAAACTTTAAATAAAAAGTTTAATTGTTTTGCAATTAATACTTTTTTTTTTTTTTTTTAATATTACGAAACGTTTTGTTGTTTATTTTAGTTATTTTTTTTTTCTACCTTTTGAATTTAATTAAAGGTTTCCTTTGTCGGAAAATTCGAGAAGGGAGATGGGAAGAGGGGAGGAGAAGGAGAAAAAAAAATTTTTTTCCGTTATAAATTAATGTGATATTTTAAAATATTTAAAAAAAATTTTGGTTCTTTATAAAAAAAAAAATTTGCGTTTCCTCCCGTCGAAATTTAAGTGAATGAATTTCCCAATGGTTACAATTCCTTTGGGAATAAATTTTATCAAAGTTCAAAAACAAAACAAAGGAAAAAAAAGGAAAAAGAAAAAGGAAAGAGAAAGAGAAAAAATAAAAACGAGGAAAATAATTTCAAGACGAAAGAAAATCTTAAAATAAAAAAAAAAGGAAAATGAAATTTTCTTTTTTTTTTTTTTGTCTTTTTCGTTTCTTGATGAAGGACAATAGCAACAGCAGAATTTTTCTCTCTCTCTCTCTCTTTTAGATTTCACTCGATGACTTTTCAAAAAAAAAAAAAAAAATTTCCGTCGTGATTTTTCATCAAATGACTTGGCATGTTTTTTAATTTTTTTTTTTTTTTCATTGTTAAAAACTTGACGAATAAGTTGAAATAGTTAGTAGGAAAATTTAACAGAATTCGAATTAAATTTTCTTTTCCTTTTCGTTGTTTATTTACTTCCCGGAAACAAAAAACGAAAAAAAAATTTTTTTTCCCACTTTCCAGTTTTTCCAAACTCACCAATTCAAACTTTACGAATCATTTTTTTTTTTTTTTGTCGGAGTAATAAACGTCAATTTATTTTTTTTTTTATTGTTATTTTGTTTCGCTCTAAATCGTATAAAAATCATAATTAAATTTTATTTTTTAATCCGACATTTTTTTTTTTTTTTTTTACACACGGTATGTCGCATGGAAAAAGAAAACACTTCAACATTTGGCAAATTAGTATTCGTAAATTGTTTGTTTGTTGATTCCACGCCAACAAACAACGATTAAATTAGAATTTTCTTGTTTTATTTCGAAAAAAATAATTTTTGTAAATGAATAATAATTAACAACGAATTTTTCGTTTTTTTTTTTCACCCCCCCCTCCTTTCGACAAAAGGTAATAAAATTAATCTTTTTTCTGTTGTCGTTGCTGTTGTCGTTGTTGTTGTTGTTGTTGTTGTCGTTGTTGTTGTTGTTTCTAAAACCACGATTTGCATTTTCTCCTGCTCTTTAAAAGACGTTTTCACCATCCACACAATTTTCTCTCATTTTATGAGTGAGGTCAACGCGCCTGACATTTAGATAGAATCTGTTTCGAATGTAATGTATGTCAGGAGAATTGTTGGAAGGAAAGGAAAAACAGCGAGTGAGAGAGAGAGAGAGAACGAAACAAAGGGGGGGAGGAGAGGGAAAGAAAAGGAGGGAGGGGAGAAGTATCCATGTGGATTAAAAACTTTTTTAAATATTTTTTTTTTTTTTTTAGAACCGTATTAAAAAGGCTTCAAAAAAAAAGAAAAAAAAATTTTAAATGTTATATAAGCATTGTTATATATATATATATATATGTATATATATATATATATAAAGTTTTTAACATATTTTAATTAGTTTAATTATGATGATGATAATAATGATAATAATAATAATAATAATAATAATAATAATAATAATTTTTACAAAGTGTCTTGTTTGGAAAAAAAAAAAAAAATGTAAAAAGAGTTTCCGGTTTGGGAAAATGAGAGAAAAAAAATTTTTTTTTTTTTTAACCGAAAAAAGTTAATAAAATTCAACATGTTGAATTATTATTATTATTATTATTATTATTATTATTATTATTATTATTATTATTATTATCATTATTATTGTTTTATTTAAAAAGTTTGATGAAACATTTGTGATCGAATAAAAAAAAGAAAAAGGAAAAAAAAAGGATAAAATAAAAAATTTTTTTCACGATTTTAATCAAAAATTATTGATGAGGAAATAATACGGAAAATTTTTTTTGTTTTTTCGGGGGGATCTAGAAAAATACTAGATCCCCTCAAAATAGATAAAAAAAAAAAATGTTGGACATACGTTTCTCGTTTTATGAACTTGATGTAAAAAAAATTTTTCGTTTTTTGGTTTTTCCGACTTTAGCTTCGCCTTATGTTGCATACACATCTCTAAGAATCAAAAAAAAAAAAAAGTAAATAAAAGGGTTTTAATTTTTATGGGTTGATTATTATGTACATAAAAATATTTTCCTGGAGTAAATAAAAAGGAGGAGGAGAGGGAAGGAAAGGGAAGGGAAAAGAAAATAAAGAAAAGGAAAAAAGTAAATTTTTTTAAAACGAAGAAAAACGAAAAATTTTCTTTTCTTTTTTTTTTACGGTTTACGTACGTTTTTGTTCTTTAACAAAAAAAAAAAAAATTATTTATTTATTCATTTGCATCATTATTATTATTATTATTATTATGATTTTAATTTTTAGCGTAAAAACCAACAATTTTTATAATTAAAATTTTAAAAAAAAGAAAAGAAAAACAATGAAAACGGTTTTTTCTTCTTTTGATTTTCAATCAGATAAATTTTACGTTTTTTTTCTTTTTTCTCTTTTTTTTTTTATTTTTTTTTTTATTTTTCTCAAAGATTCATTTTAACAAATTGCAAAAATAAAAAGTTTCAGTTTTTTTCTTTTTTTTTTTTTTTCTGAAATTTTTCCCCGAAGAGCCAAATAAAAAAAAAATAAAAGAGAGAGAGAGAGAAAAAAAAAATTTTTTTTCTCTTTTTCTTTTTTTTTTTAAAATTAGAAATCTCAATTGTAAAATTTAAAAACCCTTTCATGATATCTTTCTTATCTTATCTGTTCTAAAAGAGCATAAAAAGGTTACATAATCGTAGAATTTCGATTATTCTCTTATAAAAAAAAAATTTTTTTAAAATAATATATATATGTATAGATTTATAAATTTTAAATTTATCCAGAGGGATATATTTTGTATAGGAAAAGAAAAAAAATTATTATTATCGAACTAAAAGGAAAAATGTCGTAAAATTAATGTTTGTCGACTTTTCGAAAAAAAAAAAAAATGTCGCAGAAGTGACTGACTTCCGCGGGAGATATTAAACATTTTTATTTTATCTTTTCATTTAAATCGCACCAGAGAAAGAAAAATCCCAATTTCTGTGCCAGAAGTCACAAAAAACAACAAATTACAACGTCGTGATGTTTAACACCTTTTTTTTCACGGGGTTTTACATTATTATTATTATTATTATTATTATTCATCCTCGTGAAAATTTTTTTTTCTCATGTATTCATGCCCTGGTAATTACCTCCGGCATTAAAATAAAATACGAAAAAAAAAAAAAAATTACGACGTTCCGGCCAAATTTTGGGGGGAAGGGGGGGAAACCGCCTAGAAACCGAACGTGAAAATTATGAAAAGTTTTTGTTCATGAAAAAAAGAAAAAAAAAAATATAATAACCCGTGGAAATTTTTTTTTTTCTTTTCGTTCGGTTGCCTACGGGAGTTAAAAAGAAAATGATTATAAAGAATTACCAACGTAAGGAAAAAAAAAAAAAGAAAAACATCAAGTTGAATAGAGGGAAAAAATAAGAAGAAGAAAAGAAAGAAAAAAAAAAAAATTTTTTTTTTACTTACGAACGTTAATTACGTAGAAAAAAAAAGCAGAAGATAAAATATATAATTATAATAATTATTTTTTATTATTATGACAAACAACGAACGAACGAACGAACGAACGACCTCAATTATAATTATCATTATTATTAATTTTTATTAATAAATAAATAAATAAATGGTTAATGAATACGATCATTTTTTTTTTATTTTTTATTTTGAGCAGACGACACCTTTTGGTGTTTTCCTGAAAATTTGAAAAAAAAAAGAAGCTTTTCGGTGATTATTTTTAATTTTCCAACGCGTGAATAAACTTTTTAAAAAAAAAAAAAATTCAAAGGTTTCTGTGCTTGTACAAACGAGTTGGAAAAAACGAAACGTTACGTTTGTTAACAAAAACACGATTGTCGCCATGTTTAATTTTTTTTTTTTAAACATAAATCATTAAAATTCACACTCACACACACACACACGTTCGTCAAATTTATCATCATCCCCTTCAAATTTAATTATTTATAACGAATCTTGAGATAAAAAGAGATAAAAACGTGGAATTAGTAAAAACGCGTTTTTGAAAATTTAAAAAAAAAAAAAAAAAAAAAATGAAAGTTGTTTTTTGCGACAAAGGATGAAATTGTATTTTCGCGATCACACGTCCGTCATGTGATGTGTTTGTTTCGCGTTATAATAATTATTATTATTATTTTTTTTTTTTTAAACAGAAATATGAAGTAGAGTTTTTACTGCAACAGCAATGGTACGACCCGAGATTGGAATACGCGAATCAAAGTAATTACGAATATTTGAATGCGATTCATCATCAAAAAGATATTTGGCTTCCCGACACGTATTTCATAATGCACGGAGATTTCAAAGATCCCCTCGATCCGATGCATTTCGCATTGAGAATATACAGAAACGGAAGTATAACGTATTTAATGAGGAGACATCTCATATTGAGCTGTCAGGGTAGCCTTCACATATTTCCATTTGACGATCCGCTTTGTTCTTTTGCAATGGAAAGTAGTAAGTATAAAATGAACGAATTTATTTTATTGTCATGTTTAAAAAAAAACCTACCACATGTTTTCTTTCTCGAAACAAAAAACAAAACCTTTTTCCAAAGGGAAAAAAACTTTTTTTTTTTTTTTTTTAAAACAATTTATCACCGGCGAGAATCACGCGAGACATTTGTTTTTTTTAAAAAAAAAAAAAGAAAATTTGAAAAGAAATTTATTTATTTATTTTTTATTCCAGTTTCATACGAAAGTTCGGCCATAACATACGTTTGGAAAAACGATGAAGATACATTAAGAAAATCACCATCTTTAACAACACTCAATGCATATTTAATAGAAAATCAAACGATGGTTTGCCCATTGAAATCCACGTGGAGGGGTGAGTTTAAATTTTTTTATATTTTTTTTCCGGAAACGGAAATACGAAAATCGTTTTGTCATCACCAGTATTTAATATTAATGAGAATATAGGTTTTCCGATAGAAATGGAGGTCGTTGGAAAAGATTTTCTTTAAAAAAAAGGAATTAATAATTCGTTTTAGAAAAATCTCAACGGATTTTTATAATTATTATTATTATTATTTCGTTTTCTGGATAAGAAAACGTTAAAATAAAAATTTTATCACGAGATTTTTCTTTTTAAAAATCTTTTCTAATTCCACGAATAGCTTTACATTGTTATTACGGAATTGATAAATTTAATATGGCGGTTTTTTTTTTTTTCGTTGTTGGCAAAATTGTAAGAGAGAGGAAAAAAAATGGCGACGTGTTAGTTTTGTTTTGTTTTTCGTTGCGATCGGATGCAAATTAAAATTTTTTTTTTTTAACTCGATGATTTTAAAAGGGAAATTGGAAAACTTTTTTTTTTTTTTTTTTTTTTTTGAAATGATTATAAAATATTGTTTAGAGTTAATCAAAAAAAAAAAAAAGGTTGAGTAAAAGTTGTGAATTTTCCAGTTAAAAAAACCTTTTTTTAAATATGAAAATTAAAAAAAAAAAAAAAAAAGGATTTTCATTTAACCTTTTTTTTTTTTTTTTTTTTTTTAATAGTTGTTAAATTTTTACCCAAGTCGTAGAATATTGATTTTCATAAGCTTGGAAAAAAAAAATTTTCTTTTTTTTTTTTTTTTTTTAATGATTTTAACAATTAACATTTTAATTTCGTGAAAGGTTAACTAACTAAAATTTTCACCGGAAATATTGATTCCATGTTTTTTTTTCTTTTTTTTTTGAAAATGTAAGTCTGTCAGTTGGATTTTTTTTTTTTTTTCGATGCGGTAAAAAAAAAAAAATTTTATTTTTAAAAATAAACCGAGTTTCTCGTGTGAGGGGGAGGGGGCGGAAAAAGCGGAAAAGGTTTTTCTTTTTTTTTTTTTTCTAACCATAGAAATAAAATAAAATAACGGAAATAAAATGAACAACAGAAATACCTTTCAATTTAATTACAAAATTGGGAGAGAGAGAGAGAGAGAGAGAGAAAAAAAAAAAGGAAAAAAAAAAAAATGTTTTTTTCCTGTGTGAAATTTGATCAAATTAGGTTGCACACATCTTTTCTCTTTCTCTCTCTCTCTTTCTTTCTTTTTTTTCTCTCTCTCTCTTTTTCTTCCTTTTTTCTCTCTTTCTCTCTCTTTTTCTTCCTTTTTTCTCTCTTTCTCTCTCTCTTTCTTCCTTTTTCTCTCTTTCTCTCTCTCTCTTCCTTTTTTTTTCTCTCTCTCTCTCTCTTTTCGACTTTACTTCGTTTGCAAAAAAACACTTTTTTTTAGCCTGTGGTTTTTCTTTTTTTTTTTATTTTATTTTATTCAAAGAAGTCGTGTCTTTTTATTTATTTATTTATTTATTGACGCCAAAGTTAAAAAGGTCATTAAAATAAAAACATAATTTTACGAAAGGCAGACATCTTTAAAATAAGAAGAAGAAGAAGGAAAAATTTGTAGAAAATTATTTTTAAAAAATCTAAAATAAAATTAATATTTTTGTCAATGCGCGACGAATCAAAGTTGTTGTGTCAACGTCACAAAAGCGTAAAAACAAAAAAATTGTTTTTAACCTTTTTTTTTTTTTTTTTTAGAAAATCTTGACATTTTAAATCCTTTTTTTTGTTTTTATCTCTCTCTCTTTCTCTCTCTTGTCTTTCGATTTTTATTTCGAAAAGAAAAAAGATGTAGAAAACATAAAAAGTTTTCGGATCATAAAAACAAAAAAAAAAAAAAAAAAAAAACCGAAAATTTTATTTCGAACCTTTTTTTAGACTTACATGTGATAAAATAAACTTTTCATCTTTGTTCATCCTTTTCTCTTTGTTCTCTTCCCTTCCTTCCCTTGGAAATAGGAAAAAGAAAAACATGACCGGAAATCCGCTTCCCCCCCCCACAAAACAGGACTGGAATTATGTGAAAGAATAAAAATAAAAAAAAAAAAATTGAAATTTAAAAATTTTTCATTTATCGTCTTAAAAAGTTTCGTTTCCGTTTTATTTACCCCCCCCTTCCCCGCCCGCCTTTCGAAAATGACCGTAGTAGTAAAATTTTCCAGAATTTAAATGATTTTCCAAAAATAAAAACAAAACAAGCCTGGAAATTTTTTTAAATTAAATAAAAAAAAAAAAGTTTTTCAAATGGGAACGATAAAAAAAAAAAATTTTTTTCATTTATTTTTTTATTTTTTTTATGTTTTTTCACATTCGGTTGTTTTTATTATTTGGAATATTTATTTATCCAGAATTTTCGGGAATAGTAAAAATGTTTTTTTTTTTTTTTTTTTTTTATTAACAGGAAACTATAGTTGCTTAAAAGTAGAATTAACATTCACGAGGGATAGAGCTTTTTATTTCACGACCGTTTTTATTCCCGGTATTATATTGGTTACGTCATCGTTCATAACGTTCTGGTTGGAATGGAACGCGGTTCCAGCAAGAGTCATGATCGGTCAGTTACAAAAAAAAAATATTATAACCTTTGTAAACTAATTAAAATATATCGAAATTATTATTATTATTATTATTATTATTTTTCAACAGGTGTGACAACAATGCTCAATTTTTTCACAACTTCTAACGGTTTTAGATCAACACTGCCCGTCGTATCGAATCTCACGGCTATGAATTTATGGGATGGGGTTTGCATGTGTTTCATATATGCGAGTTTGTTAGAATTTGTTTGCGTCAATTACGTAGGACGCAAAAGACCATTGCACAACGTCGTATATCGTCCCGGAGAAAATCCCGTGACGCAGGTAAGAAAAATATACAAATATTAAAAAAAAAAAAAACTATAAAAGAATAGGAAAAAAAAAATTGTTTTTTTTTTTTCTAATTTATTATTATTATGAGCTTGTGAATTTATTATTAACGAATGTTTTTTTTTTTTTTTTTTTTTTTTTTTGTCTGTCTGTCTCTAAAAACAAAAATTTTTTTTCTTTTTTTTGCTTTTTTTTCTTTACACCCTCCCTCGTTTCGTTTCGTTTTTTAACAAACCCCCCCCCCGTCCCACTCAATCGATTAACCAACCATCGTTCGAACGCCGCCTCCCCCCCCCCTCACGTTAGTAATAATAATAATGATTTGCGGTTGTAAATTCATATATATATATATATATATATATAGCTCCGGGTCCATTTTTATTTTTTTATATTCGAATGCGTCAGTAAAAA